AAAAAAAAAAAGATGTAACAAAGAATTAAGGTGAAGGATTTGGGCTGGGGAAGGACCCACCCTAAAGATGAACTTTCTTTAGTTCACAGTGATAACTGTCAATTTATCCTCAATGTTCAGAATAATGCCTAATACCCAGTAAGCGATCAACAAATTTTTTTTAGCCAATGAGTAAATTATTACCCTAGTTTATGTACCTGCTGAAATTATATTTTTCTAATTTTTAACTATTATGCAAAAAATGTTTCCAGTTAAATATCTTGCATACCTCTTTTTGAACACCTGTTTATCTGTAGAATAAAAAAGTGAAATTAGAATATCTGAAGCAATGTTTTTCATTATAGTCAGTATTACTTCGAAGATTAATTTTAATATTTTAACTTGAATTAATACTGTCAAATCTACCCCTACCCCTGTCAGTGACTAACCTGATTTATACTTCTACTAAGAATATTCACTTTTCCACAAAATTGATATTTTCAAATTTCAGTTTTAGACAGTGTGGGAGATAATGGTTCTATTGTTTTGCTTTGCATGCCAGAGTCACTAGTGCAGTTAAGCATCTTTTTTTATGTGGTCAGTTTTATTTCATTCTTACTTCTTCATCTATTGTCTATTATACATTTGCCCATTTCACTATAGGGTTGTCTTTTTCTTTTTTTTTTTATTCCATTTCCACAGAAGATTCACTGATTGATTTGCAAAGAAGGGTTGTCTTTTTCTTACATGTATTTGTTTTCACTGCCTGTTCCAGATGTCAATTATTTGTGCACTGTATATGTTTCCTCTTTTTGAACTTTACTCGTGGTATTTTTGTCCTATGAAACATTTTAGCCCATACTCTCACATGGAAGAATAATTACCTTGCAAACCTCTCTTGTGTACTCCTATTCAGTAGCATCAAATCCAGTTGATTTGAGTCTTACCCTTCCTTCTGAGGAAATACAGTGTTGTGATTAGAAGCACAGGCCAGGCATGGTGGCTCACTCCTGTAATCGCAGCACTTTGGGAGGCTGAGGCAGGCGGATCACCGGAGATCAGGAGTTCTAAACCAGCCTGGCCAACATGGTGAAACTCCTTCTCTACCAAAAATACAAAAATTACCTGGGCATGGTGGTGCACATCTGTAATCCCAGCTACCTGAGAGGCTAAGGCACAAGAATGGCTTGAACCCAGAAGGTGGGGATTGCAGTGAGCCGAGATCACACCACTGCCCTCCAGCCTGGGCAACAGAGCAAGACTCTATCTCAAAAAATAAATAAATATTTTAGAAAATAATAATAAGCATAGACTTTAGGACCAGGCACGGTGGCTCACGCCTGTAATCCCAACACTTCGGAAGGTCAAGGCAGACCCCTTGAGTCCAGGAATTTGAGACCAGCCTGGGCAACATGGTGAAACCCTGTCACTGCAAAAGAAATACCAAAAAAAAAACAAAAAAATAGCCTAAGTGAGCAAGGTGGTACGTGCCTGTGGTCCCAGCTACTCAGGAGGCTGAGGGGACAGAATTTGGACTTTGGGTCAAAATTGATGTGTTCAAGCAAAGGTTTTGCCACTTACTGTGTAACCTTGGGCCAGCTGCTTAACCTCTCTAGACCTCACTTGCCTTCTCTGTAAACCAGAGGTGATAACAGTACACCCATTTCATAAGGCTGTGGTGAGAACTAGATAATATATTTAAAGAGCTTAAAACCGTCTGGTGCATAGCAAGTGTTATGTAAACGTTAAACCTTTCCTGCCCTTTTCATCTGCTCCTCCTTTTCATTTTTTCCTGTTACAGCATTCCTTCTTTTTTCCTATTTCCTCACTATGCCTTTGCTTGAATACTAATCCTTAAATAAACTACTGGTCCAACAAACAGCAGGCAATAAATACTTCATGCCATTATTTTAAATGACTTCAGAATAATACAAATATATCCAGCATAATAGTTTACATTTTAAAGGTGTTACACCCATTTTGTTTTGAGATATGTCAACAAAGCCCATGTTTCTTTTCTACCTGTAAGTTTAAAACGTCCCCAAATCAATTAAAAATAGAGGAAAGTCAGGCTGTTTTTTCTCTTTGTACTGCCATCTCCTGTTTCTACTGTTTTTACACTTCTTTGCAGCTCAGTTTCTTTATCTGTAAGATATTCTTAGGATGAACTTAGTAAGAAATGTGCAAGATCTAGATGAAGACCCACCAGATAGGATGCTCTCTGCAGACACGCAACTCACTGACTCAACCAATGAGGAAATTATCCCACAAAGCAGATAGTCCTAATGGAGGGCAGAATTCAGGACTGAGCATCTCAGTGATGCCGCCGGGAACCCAGGCTTCTCTGTCCCTTCACCGGACTAACCGAGTTCGAGACCACAAGCGGGTCAGTTCGCCAAGGCTGGCGTGGACGGTAGGAATGAAGGAGGTGAGGGTGGCGCGCCGCAGGCCTAGGCAGGGTATCGGCGGCGGCGGCGGCGGCGGCGGCGGCGGAGGCTGGAGGCCCGGCTGATTTGAGGAGACGGCGGTGTCTCCCGGGCCGCGCACCCGATCCTTCCTTGGGTCCGTGCGCGCACAGCGCGAGGCGCGCTCGAGCGGAAGTGGCGGCGACCCCGCCGGAAGCGCGCAGCTAAGGCAGGGGAAGCAGCACAGAGCCCTCCTCCCGCCTTCTCTGTGCAGGAGCCAGCCTAAGGAGCCCATTGCCGACGCGCCGATAGTTCAGCAGCTCTTGAGTCGGGGAAGCTAGAGTGAGCGGAGGGAGCAGCCAGTGGCAATGACCCAGACCTCAACGACCACCCCTTACCAAGCCGGCGGAGCTGCTTGATGAGTGGCTTCCAGGCGGCGTCTCTTGCTTTCAGCCCGGACGGGGTCTCGGGGACCCAGGCTGTGGGGCCGCCTCTTCCCCTGCCTTCAGTTCACCCAGAGATAAGGTGAAAAACCTTAGAGACCCTCGGGAGCCGGTCCACCAAAGGGAGGTCTAGGGTCCCCAGGAATGTTGCCTGGGGAGGGGTGTTTGTGGGGAGGGGTGGCTGTGAGGAGTGCCCCAGGCCCACCTCTGCGGGACACTTGAAATGCTCCACATCCCCAGCGAACAGCGTGTCACACATCACACCATGGTGTATTTGAGATCCCATCTGCCACTTGGGCTGGAGGAAATGAGTGTTCCTGGGTTTCTTGTCATTGCTTCCTGAGGGTTTCATTTTACTGCTGTTGGTTTATGGCCTCAAACATAAATTTGAAGAATTTTGCCCTGTCTCGCAGTATTGGGAAGGGGATTGTTTTGTTCCAGTCCGTTTGGACAATTAGTTGGGAGTATTTACAAAAGGTCAGGCCGGGCATGGTGGCTCACACCTGTAATCTCAACCCTTTGGGAGGCCAAGGTGCAAGGATCGCTCGAGCCCAGGAGTTCGAGACCCGCTTGGGCAACATCGGGAAACCTTGTCTCTACAGAAAATTTTAAAACTAGCTGGGCATGGTGATGCACGCCTGTAGCCCCAGCTACATGGGAAACTGAGGCAAGAGGATTGCTTGAGCCGGAGAGTTCGAGGCTGCAGTGAGCTGAGCTCGCACCACTACATTCCAGCCCCAGCGACAGAGCAAGACCCTGTCTAAGGTCAATTCTTCAGTGAAATCACAAAATCACAAATGTAGGTAGGGAAGGGCCAAGGTAGGTAACAGGAGTGAGAGAACACAGACACCAACAAAAGTTCTAACTTTGAGGACGACTCTAGTATTCTTTTCATCCTAAGACTTCTGGCCTATCAGCTAGTTCGGACACAGCCTAGGAGTCTCAAGCCAGTAAAGGAACAAGGAGGCAGTTTACCCTCTTGGGAAAAAGCTGTGGCCCCACCCTTGATGAAGAAGGGCTGTAGAAACCCAGGACCTTTGAGCAGGTAGACTCCTGAAGGTTTAAGATTCTGTGGAGCAGGTATGTGCAGTGCCAGTACTCAACCGGCAACTGATGGACAGGAATAAGTAGAGCTGCTCTGAGTGTATTCTCTTGCAAGCCTGGGCCAGAGGTACACAGGAAGGAATTAATCATGTGGTATGGTAGGCCAGGTGTGGAGCCAGAGTGGAACCACGACCAGCCAGTGTCAAGGCAGAGAGAAGAGTTCCTCTGGCTGACATTGACGGAAGCAGAGTCAAAAACCTAGAATGGTTTGCTTCAAAGACTGGATGCTGCCTAATGACCTCAAAGACTAGTGACATCTGGACTTTGAGTAAGCAAGGAAGATTTTGGAATGAGCACACAACTTCAAGAAAGCCAAGACATGATTACCTCTAGTTTCTGCTGCTCCTAGAGGCAGAATCATCTGAGAACTGATTGAAGGGTGTCTGTATATCCCAGAGACTAGTGCACTCTAGGATAAAAGGAGTCATTCAGCCCTTACTCTTGGTTGGATGCAGGGCTCTAGTGTAGTTTGAATAAAATGTCACAGAACAAATTTCTAAGACCTTTAGGTTGAGTGAGTGTTAGAGTTTGTCTAATAGTAACTTTCTCATCAGTATCTATTTAGCTGTTCTGCATAGGCCTTTGAGATATGGAAATAAGTAAGATAAATACTCCCCACAAACTCCCAAACAATTAGAATGCTGAGAGAAGAATGAATTAGGAACTCTACTGTACTGAAGAAGGAATTGGTTGGACAGAAAAGAGCTGACTGCCTGAAATCAGGCGTTAAAGACCAGCCTGGCAAACATGGTAACTTCATCTTTACAAAAATACAAAAATTAGCCAGATGTGATGACAGGTGCCTGTAATCCCAGCTACTTGGGAAGCTGAGGCAGGAGAATTGCTAGAACCCAGGAGGTGAAGGTTGCAGTTAGCCAAGATCGTACCATTGCACTCTAGCCTGGGTGACTGAGCAAGACTCTCTCTCAAAAAAAAAAAAAAGAGGTGACTGGTCACTGTAAGCTGGATTTGCGGAAGGTGGGAATGGAGACTAAGGGCTCTTGCTAAGAGGAATTTGAGTAAACCTTTTTCAGGTTCTCATGTCTTTAGCACTTAAATCTTGGACTTAATAAATAGACTGGCAGTGGTGGCATCAACACTACTAAAAGGCAGGGTTACCCTCTTAGAGTACACTTGGAAAATCGGTCTGAAATGAAAGAAACTTTGTTGGTGAGTGGAAGTGGAAGTTTTGGTTGGGTGCAGTGGCTAATATTTGGGAGGCAAAGGTGAGACGATTGCTTGAGACCAGGAGTTTGAGACCAGCCTGGGCAACATGGGTCTAAAGTGCAGTGCAGTGGCATTCTAACACCCAGCCAACCTAAGGGCTTTAGTATCCATAGAAAAAGCATTGCCAAAATTATGCCATATGTTAAGATCAAGGCTTATCTTTGGGTGTTGAGTGCAACCGTCATTATAAGAAACAAAATAAACTTAGAAGCAAAGGAGTAGATGAGGATCTGTCTTGGGAGAAAATCCAAAAATCAGTTGTGATCAGGGTATAGTACCTTTTGGCCTGACATATAACAAACTCTGCAAAATGTTAAAACCTTTAATGAAAACAAGTGAGATGCTGGACCTTAGTGTCACTCATAATCATGAAATAGTCAACATTTATTGAGCTTTTACTACATGCCATAGGTATTCTTCTAAGCTTTTTACTTTCATTAGCTCAATAGTCCTTGCCTTATCATATAATAGGCACTACTGAATGGATATTTGTGTCATTTACTGAGGGAGCAGCTATCAAGAGCCCAGCCAATAAGCTGAGAAATCTGAGTTGATTTTAAAGTCCCCCTGTGTTTCAACAAGGGTGCCAAGACCATTCAATGGAGGAGGGACAGTCTTTTCAAAAAATGGTACTTGGAAAGCTGCATATCCATATACAAAAAATGTTGTTAGACTCCTTACCTTATACCATACACAGAACTTAAAGTGGATCAAAGACCTAAATGTAAAACTGTTAGAAGAAAACATAGGGCAAAACCTTCATGATGTTAAATTTGGCAGTGATTTCTCATATATGACTCCAAAAGCACAGGCAACAACAAGAAAAAAAAGATGAATTGGATTTCATCAAAATTATAAACTTTTGTGCATCAAAGAACATGATAATGAATGAAATGACAACCCACAGAATGAGAAAAAATATTTGCAAATTATCCATCTGACAAGAGAATAATATACAGGATAACAAACAACCCAATTGAAACATAAAGTAGCCAAGCACAGTGGCACACACGTAGACTTCCTCCTATTCAGGAGGCTGAGGCAGGAGGATTGCTGAGCCCAGAATTTCGAGACCAGCCTGGGCAACATAGCAAGATCCTATCTCAAACAATAAATAAAGAATAAGCAAAGGACTTGAATAGATGTTTCTCCAAAGATGATATACAAATGGCCAATAAGAACATGAAAAGATGTTCAACATCACTAGTCAATAGGGAAATGCAGATCAAAACCACAGTGATATACCACTTCATATCCATAGTATGGCTACTATGGAAAAATGGAGCCCAGCACAGTGGCTCATGCCTGTAATCCCAACACTCTGGGAGGCTGTGGCAGGCAAATCACCTAAGTTCAGGAGTTTGAGACCAGCCTGGCCAACATGGCAAAACCCTGTCTCTACTAAAAAATGCAAAAATTAGCTGGGCATGGTGGCAGGTGCCTATAGTCCAAGCTACTCGGGAAGCTAAGGCCCAAGAATTGCTTGAACCTGGGAGACGGAGGTTGCAGTGAGCCGAGATCATGCCACTGCACTCCAGCCTGGGTGGCAGAGCAAGACTCAATCTCAAAAAAAAAAAAAAAAGAAAAAATTGAAAAGAGAAAGTGTTAGCAAATATATTTAAGAAATTGGAACCCTTGTTCATTACTGTTAGGAATATAAAATAGTGCAGCCACTGTGGAAGACAGTTTGATGTGTCTTCAGAAAGTTAGAGGATTGCCATACGACCCAGCAATTCCATTTTTAAGTATATATTCAAAGTAATTGAAAGCAGAGACTAAAATAAGTACAGATACTTGGATGCCAGTATTTATAATAGCGTCATTCACAGTGGCCACAAGGTGGAACCAACCCAAGAATCCATGAGCGGAATAAACAAAATGTAATTTGTACATACAATGGAATATTATTCGGCTTAAAAAGGAATTAAAATGTGACACATGCTACAACATAGATGAGCCTTGAAAACATTATGCCAAGTGAAATAGGCCAAACACAAGTGGACAGAAATTCGAAGATTCTACTTTTATGAGGTACTGAGAATAGGCAATTTCATAGAGACAGAAAGTAGAATAAAGACTACCAGGAGCTGAGAGTACCCTCTTAGAGTACACTTGGAAAATCAGTCTGAAATCAAAGAAACTTTGTTGGTGGAGTGGAAGTGGAAGTTTTGGTTGGGTGCAGTGGCTAATATTTTGGGAGGCAAAGGCAAAGGGGAGAATGGGATGTTGTTATTTAATGAGTACAGAGTTTCTGTTTAGGATGATGAAAAAGTGCTAGAAGTAGATAGTGATGATGGTTGTACAACATTGTGAATGCACTTTTTTATTTTTCAAAATGATCTTTTTATGTCTAAATGAATGTACTTAATGCCACTAAAAGTACACTTAAGGATTAAAATAACAAATTTTATGTTACATATATTTTACCACACACACACAAATCCTTTTGCAGGTGGATATGTCTAAAAAGTCATCTTTGTTTTTAGTGTTCCAGCCAAAAATGGCAGACCTTACTTTGGAATCTATTTTGCCATTGGACAAAGTAAGAGAAGATTGTTGGACCTCTGATGAGGCTTCTGCCTGGAGTGGGAGTGAGCTGTTTGGAAGAGGATTGGAAGTCTCAAAAGCAGCAATTGGTCAAAGTTAGGCGAAACAGGCTGGTGAGCCGGACGCGGTGGCTCATGCCTATAATCCCAGTACTTTGGGAGGCCAAGGCTGGTGGATCACAAGGTCAGGAGATCGAGAGATTGAGACCATCCTAGACAACATGGTGAAACCCCGTATCTACTAAAATATAAAAAATTAGCTGGGCATGGTGGTGCACGCCTGTAGTCCCAGCTACTCGGGAGGCTGAGACAGGAGAATCCCTTGAACCCAGGAGGTGGAAGTTGCAGTGAGGCGAGATCA